GTTTCCTTATCATTATGTTGTCTTTGAATCCTCATTTTTAGCAGTCTAATAGTATTACTTCAAGTGGATAAATCATAATGTACTTGTTGGACATATAAGTAGCTTCCAGTTTTTTCCAATATTATATATACTATTACAATTAACATCTTAATACACAAAGAATTTTCATTTAGTTGGGTGTCTCCCAAGCATAAATTTCACAGAGTAGAATTACTTGGGTCAAAGATTTTAACATATTTTGTGCTCTTAATATATTACCCTATTGATTTCCAGGAGGGTTGTGCCATTTTTACACTACGTACCAGTGAGTAAGTATATTGATTTCACCACAACTGTGCCAGCACAGAATTTTACCATTTTAAAAAGGTTTTTGCCAAATCGGTATCATAAAATGGTGACTTGAAGTTGCTGTTGTTTTTATTTCTTTTATTAAAACCAAGGAGGAACATCTTCCCCCACATATTTTTCACTTCATATTTCCTATTTGGTGAAGTATTTGCTCATTTCCTTATCCAATCCTTTTCCAGAGTAGGAGACCATTTTTATAGAAATGGTCGTACTGATACTGGTATCAACTCTGGGCAAATTGCAACTCAACTTTCTCATTTGATCCTCCCAAGTTCCTGGGAGGAAGGCTGGGCGGGAAATAGGGCCCTGATTCACAGATGAGGGGGCTAGGGCTCAAGAAGTTCATATAGCTACAAAGAGGCAGGTCCTTTGACTCCAAGTCCAGTAGTTGTTCTTGATCTTTTTTTTTTTAAATAAATAGTATTGTAATTTTAATTGTATTGAGATACAATTCGCATAGCATACAATTTACCCATTTAAAGTGTGCAACTCAGTGGCTTTTAGTATACTCACAGAGTTGTGTAACCATCGCTACAATCAATTTTAGAACTTTTTCACCACCCCAAAAAGAGACCCAGTGCCCATTAGCAGTCACTCTCCATCGCTCGTTTACACGAGGTAAAGATCAAAATATGTTTAAGCTTGGACAAAAGAGATGGCTGGGGTGGGCTGTGTGACGAAAGCTGAGAAGGCTTGTGCTGTGCCATGGACTTGCTATGTGACCACAGGCCACAATTCCCCTCTCTGTTTCTTGGTTTCCTCCTAATACAAATAAGTATTCAGTGCCTGCTGTGTGTCAGGCTTCGGGTGGGGCATGTCACAGATATTCATGACCTTCTTTCAATAGGGGTGAGGAGTCCCACTTTATAGAAAAGGAAACTGAGGCCAAGAATGGAGACACGACTCATTCAGGTCCCTACGCTGGTTGGTGGCAGAGAAGGTCCTGGAACTGGGGCTGGGGGTTCTGACTCCTAGTTCAAGGCCACTACATCAACTGCCTCTGGCTCCAGGGGCTCCCCCAGTGACAGGTGAAGACAGGTGGGAAGCAGAAGAGGCTGCTTTTTCTCACTGGTTCAGGGAGGGGAGGGCTGCAGGTTGGCGCTAAATAGTTGTTTCGCCCTCCAGTGGCCACAATCAGAGGTGCAAGTGTCAGGCTTTGGGGGCTACCCAGGAGGAGTCCCCTTCCCATTACCCCACACAAACTCCCCAAACACACACTCACACACAAACATTAGAGTTACAAGGTGTCTGTCTGGGTGTGTCTAGGTCTGTTGAATCCTTCCTTCCTTTAGTCACTCAAAACTTACCAAGTGCTCACTTTGGCAAGACCTGATCTGGATGTTGGGGACACAGGGCTCCCAGGCTGGAGGGGCAGGCATAAAATTTCCTTAAATTTATAGAGATCAGGGAGTCTTGACTAGTCTAAGAGGGATAGGCAGAGAAGGCATCCTGGAAGGTCTAAGCTGAGACCTGAAAGATAAGTAGAAATGAACCAGAAAAGATTTGGACTAGGGATATTCCACATGGAGGGAACAGGATATGCAAAGGCCCAGAGGTGAAAACAGAAAGATGTTCACTCTGGCTAGGGAATGAGTGTGAGAGGGAAGAGGTTCAGTGAGGGAGGAAAGAGGGCAGGAATGGATCATTTAGCCTCTCGTGTCTTAGTTATCTAATGCTGCTATAACAGAAATACCGTAAGTGGGTGGTTTTAACAAACAGAAATGTATTTTCTCACAGTTTAGGATGCTAGAAGTCTGAATTCAGAGTGTCGGCTCTAGGGGAAGGCTTTCTCTCTCTGCCAGCTCTGGAGGAAGGTCCTTGGCTCTGAGCTTCTGCTCCTGGGCGATCTTCACGTGGTTTGGCATTTCTTTTCCCCATCTCTGCTTCTTTCCCTTGCTTGTTTAATCTCTTTTATGTCTCAAAAGAGACTGACTTAAGGCACACCCTCTACTAATCCTGTTTCATTAACATAACAAAGACAACACATTCCCAAATGCAATTATAACCACAGACATAGAGGTTAAGATTTACAATACATATTTTTGGGGGACACAATTCAATCCATAACACCCACCCAAAAAAAAAAAAAAAATTGCCATTGAATCATAGTGACCCTACAGGGCAGGGTAGAACTGGCCCATAGGGTTTCCAAGGCTGTAAATCTTTATGGAAGCAGACTGCCACATCTTTCTCCCATGGAGTGGCTGGTGGGTTTGAACCACTGACCTTTAGGTTAGCAGCCAAGTGCTTAACAACTGCGCCAGCAGGGCTCCTCTATAACACCATGTGAGGAAAATTGGACTTTCTCCTGGAGGTACCAGGGAGGCATGGAAGAGTTTTGAGCAAGGGGAGGACAAGATAAGAAGGAAATTTTAGAAATATCACTCTAACTGCTATATGGAAAGGTGACTCAGGTAGGCAAGAGGGGAGGTGGGGCTGGCTCTGGGCCTGTCTGAGTTTCTCAGGACCCAGGGTATGTGGGGAAGTGGGAGAGAAGAAGTTCCACTTTGTCTACAGAGTAGAAGCCATTTTCCCCAGAGAAAAATGACAATGAGGTTGGGTTGTGGGACTCACCTGACCCGAAATACTCACAAATCTATTCTCACAGGTGCCCATCATGTCCCCGAGAGGAAGGGGTGATTCTCTCTATTCTGTGGAATAAGAAACAGAGGTAGAGAGACTTGTCCAAGTCATATAAAAGTTGCTGGGTAGTTAAGCCTAGATTCTGTGGGGTTTGAGGCATCTCCAAAGCAAAAACATCACTGAGGCCAGCTCATCCTTCCAAAATACCTGGCCCTGGCCCTGGGCTATGTGAGGTTTAGCTGTGACCCTGTGTTTCTGGGGTTGCTAGGGCAGAAATGGAAACCCTGATGGTGTAGTGGTTAACAGTTTGGCTGCTAACCAAAAGGTCAGCAGTTCAAATCCATCAGGTGCTCCTTGGAAACCCTGCGGGGCAGTTCTACTCTGTACTGTAGGGTCACTATGAGTTGGAATCAACTCGACAGCAATGGGTTTGGTTTTTAGGGCAGAACCAGGACCCAGTGATGAGGACTCTGACATCCTCAGGCCACCTTCAAGGCTCTCCTGGACTCTGGCCACCCTTGCAGCTCCCCCCTGCTTCCCCAGACAATAAGCCTAAGGCCCCCAGCAGCTATTACTCACCCACGGCCTCCAGGCCTTGTCTTCAGAGACAAGGGGCCTGTCAGAGGCACCTGGCTATAAAGCCAATGAATGGTCCTTGGCTGCCATCCCGACAATGTCCAGGCTCTGGCAAGAAGAGATTAGGCTGGGCCACACACCCAAACCGGTTCCAGCTGCTTAGGGGACTCATATCAGGGTCCATGGAGTATCCCCCACCCCAATGGCACTTGGCTGTCTCCAGGAGTGACTCCTAGGAAATGCGGCCCCATGGAAGGGAGGGATTGAACTGGGGGTCTCAGGAGCAAGGGCACTGCCAAGCATGGGAAGATCATTACTCAGGTTACAGGGCAGAGATTTGGGGTGAGACTTGAAGGGGGGGAAAAAAGACCAGAAGACATACAAAGGAGATTGACAGCATTAGGGTTGACACAAACTCCTCTCTTACCCACAGACAGAAAGAGCATGGGCGTAGGAGGCAGACCGGGAGTCCACCCCTTCCTCACTATATGACCTTGGGCAAATCTGTCCTCTTTGGGCCTCAGTTTGCACATATATAAAATGGGATCCCCAAGAGTCCCTGCTTTGAATGAGATGAGCAAGTGTGGAAATGCCCCTCCCAGGGAGCTGTAGAGCAAAGGTTCCATTGCAGGCTTCTTCCCTCCTCTCTTGATGGCTCTGAAGGCTGGGACTTGGTTGAGGGGGCAGGTAGGTCACAAACACAGGAGAACCAAGTCCTGTATACGCTCGCTCTGCAGGCCCATGAACCTGGGAGATAGTCAGTGCTCTGCCCTAACGGGGGGCCTCTTATTCCCCCAATTTCATTTTGAAAATTCTCAAACCTAAAGAAAAGCTGAAAGAATAACACATTGAATACTGCTATATCTCTGTCCACTTTGATCCCTTCCTTCTTTTAAAAATAAACCATTGTTCATTGTATTGGCAGATGTTTCGGCATGTATATTTTCACCACGGTAAAAATAAATAAATAAGCCATCATGTTGTCAGCAAGCTATTTGAACAAGTGTAAAAATTAAGTTTTGAAAAGAACGTTAAACTGTGTGCCAGGCACTATATACAAGCTACAAGGACGTTCATTACGTCAAAGTCTTTTAAATCTGGTAGCGAGCCCATAAGTTGTGTACTGTTGTCATCCACACTTTACAGATGGGGAAACTGAGGTGTAAGGAAATTAAGTAACGGTCTCAGGCCAGAGAGATCCGTCTGAACCCAAAGCCTTAGCCCTGAGGTCACTCAGTCTGACTTCCCTCCCAATCAGGAATCCCTGCTACTATGTCCTGAAAAGCGTGCACCCGATCCTGCTACACACTTCCGTGCCGGAGAGCTCATCACCTCTGCATCCTCCCCAAACCTTCAGACTCCTTCTACACCCCCGACCCCACCACCTGGCCCAGGCTCTGCCTTCGGAGGCCAAAACCTCAGTTTCCTCCCCAGAGGCAGTGCCCTCGCCCCGCTCCGCCCCGCCTTGCTCCGTTACCTTTCCAATGGCCGGGATGAAGACGCAGAGACCCGGGTGCAAGGCCAGCTCTGCCACTAGCGAGCTGTTTAACTTTGGCGAGAGCCCTCAGCTCTCCGAGTCTTCATCTGGAAAATGGGTTTGACAGCCCCTCCCTCACAGCGGGTTGCAAGTAAAGGAGATGAGGCCTGCACGGGGCCAGCTCAGGGCAAGTAGTAAAAGCTCGGTACCGAGTGCTCCATCCTCCGCCACACCCTGGCTTTGGACACAATTCTTCAGCTTCCACAAGTTTATTTTGGAACCAAATCTCACAAGGTGGCCCCCTCTAATCGGGTGACTACCTGTGTGTTGGGGGTGGGGGCTGTGGGCAGTGACAATAGGCCTTGTTCAGGGGCTAATGGTCACCGCGCTTCCAAAAGCAGGCGGGTCTCTGGCCTTCCCAGAGGGCGGGGATCCGAGGGGCGGGGTCTCCTAGCCCCGCCCCCGAGGCGTTGCCACTCGGGGCAGGGTCGGGCTGCGAGACCTGGAGCGTGCCTCTGCCTCTTCCAGACAACCTCACAGACCGCAAACCGAATGCAGGCACCAAGCTGAGCGAAACGGGTGAGGACCGGGGCCTGTGAACAGGGGACGGATCCCTCGGGCTTGGGGAGGAGACAGCGCGGGTGAAGGGGAGGTCCCTGTCCGGGTCCCATCAACCTACGGGGGGTTTCCCCATTGGAGAAGGACGCGTAGTGGCAGCCGAACTTTGCATATCTCTGTGAGTGTTAACCACTGTTGACTAGGTGGGAGGGCAAGGCTGGTGGGAGCCAAGGAGGTTGAGGGGCAAATACAGGAAGACGTGAACAAGGGAGTGGCGGAGTCAGCATTTACTTGAGCCCATACAATGTGCCCAGCACGGGCTAGGGGCCGCGGCCACAGCCCTGGACTGGACTCTTATAACCTCCCCACCCACCTTTGGGTGGACGCAGGCGCTATTTAAAAGGTTGTGGGGGGGGATAAATTCGAACTTCTCAGAGTTCAGAAAGTGTGAACCGCCATGACCTCCTGTGACATCATTCCCTGATGGCTCTAGACTCTCAACAGGCCTGAGACCCGGCTGTTGGGACACAAATCAGTTGCCTTGGAGTCAACTCCGGCTCGTGGCGACCCCATGTGTGTCTGAATAGAACTGTGCTCCATAGGGTTTTCAATGGCTGATTTTTCACATGTAGATCATCAGGTCTTTCTTCCAAGGAGCTTCTGGGTGGCCTCGAACCTCCAACCTGGAGCATTATTTCAGTGCCAATGTTTTCCGAGGCCCATTAAGACCAAGAAGGCTCCTCCTGGCTTGCTAAGCTCCCCCAGGCTTCCAGAAATGACCCCCAAACCACCCATGACTGGGTATCCCCAGCTTAGCACAGCACCTGGCAGTGGGGCAACAGGCCCCTTAACGATGTTGGGTGGATAAAGAGATTGAAAACCGACCTTGAAGGAGGTGCCACTGAGGAAATAGGAGGCCAGTCCAGGCAGGCGGCCAGCAAGCTTAAAGGTCTGGAGAAGGGATGCTGCCTGCGGAACTGAAGCAGCTTGGGGAGCAGGGGAAGAGATGACTGCATGGGGGAATCGTGGGACAGGTGAGGCTGGGGAGGCTTGAATGCCAAGCTATGAATTCCAAAGAAAACAAGGAAACCACCATGCCTGAAAACACTACCACCACCACCGGGCGAGGACCCTGAGCTCTGTCTCCACCCCTCTCTGGCCTTTGAACTATTGCTACTCTCCTCCACCCTCAATTCACCAGGGCTACATCGTTTCTGAGCTTCAGTCCTGGAAGGGGCTCCTGGAGACCATCCCTTTGTGCAAGTAAATGTCATCCCCAGTGGGTGGGCCATCCCGCCCAAGGCTGCAGCCTGGGCTCCCAGCCCAGTGAGTTGGCTCCCCGCCCCATGGGTTCTGGGGAGCAAACAAGGAGCAAGATGACCCTTCCAGAGTCAGAAGAGGGTAGCCAGGCAGGACGCTGAGCTGTTTTCCTGTTTTTGTTTTTGTTTTTTTCTTCCTCAGCCCACACTGGCTGTGCCTGTGACCCCCGTTGTCCCCCACCTGCCCCTGCTGGACCCAGAATGGCCCCTTGGCACCACTGCCTCCTCTACCTCTTGGTACCTAAACTTCGGGAGGGGGATTCAGGGGAGGAGGTCAAAGGGACTTGAGGCTGTTAGGGCTCCAAGTGGCCATCCCACATCACAAGATCACTGCAAAAGTTACATAAGCCCTTGGCAGAGAAATAGAAGTAAAAGCACCACTAGGTGCTACACCTCTTATATTCACTTATCAGCTTTATTCCCCACAAGGGGGAAACAGGCTTGGGGCGGTGAAGTGACCTGCCCAAGGTCACACTCTGGGTGAGACTTGAACCCAGGTCTGACTGCAGAGCCTACAGCTTCCACTAGACCCTTTGCCCCACCCCGCTAGCACACAGTAGGCATTCAGTAAACCGCACACTTGGGTGCACTTGTCCCAGCCCTCACCTCGCTCTTTCTCTCTTAGATCAAGAGTCTCTCTGGGACACCCTCCAACTCCCCAGGTGAGTCAAGGAAACCCTGGGACACAGGTTAGTATGACGAATCCCTTCCTCTGCTGCCTCAAGGAGTCCCCTCTCCCCCAGCTCAGCCAGCTTGTGGTCCATGCGTGCACTGGCCTCTAGTGCAAAAGATGCAAGAAGGGCCACTTGGTTTGTCACCCACCATACCAGACCCTGTGCTGAAAGCATCACTTGGGCCCGCCCCATTCCTGCCATTTTACAGATGAAGAAACAGGCTCAGCAAGAGGACACAACTTGCCAGGTCATACAGCATGGCCAGGGTTCAGTCTATCCAGGCGCCAATGGCTCCAAGCCCAGCGTCCTTGGTGCTGCCCAGTCCCAGAAGTGTCAGATGCCCATCCATGTGCTCTCCCACACCCTCTCCTCTCCAGCTCCAGCTCCAGTGGCCCCTGGTGAGGTGGTGGAGACAGCAGGTGGGGTGTGCAAATATCCACAGCAGAGACTAAGCTGGTGGCAGGCCCAAGAGTCCTGCGAGCTGCGGTTCGGCCACCTGGCATTGGGGCCCCCAGATGGGGTCCTTGCTCTGAGGCTGCGCGACCAGGTCTGGATAGGCCAGAGCGACGCCCTTCTGCGGAGACCGCCGCAGAGGCGTGAGTGTGAACCCCTGAAGTGGGGGGCAGAGGCTCTGGTGACCTCTAGGGATGGGTGTCCACAGTGGCAGCCCCACAGAATCAGTCCTCTTTGCATCTCCAGGTTCCCTTGCCCTGGATAGATGCAAGGGATTGGCCCCAGGTATGGGCGTTGGAGCCCCCTTTTCTTCCTCTGTGGGGAGGCACCCCAAAGTCCGCAGCTGCGCCAAAGGACAGTCAGAGGCAGGACCCTGTGTGTAGTAGCTGGGGAAACTGAGGCCTGGGCCTGCGTGTTCCCGCAGGCGCGCGCACCATGGTCGCTCTTGTGTTCGGCGAGAAGACAGCGGACAGGGCAGCGTGGGTGCGGACACCCCTGCCCGAGCTGGGGGAGCTCACCGCGTGCGCTCACGTCCAGTGGGACACCGCCTCGCCCGACACGGCCACGCTCTTCTCTCTCGCAGTGCCCGCGCTAGCCAATGCGCTGCAGCTGCGCGCCTTCGCCGAGCGCGGGGGCGCGGTGCGCGCCGCGCTCGTGGTGCGCGGGCACCATGCGCCCTTCCTCCCCGCCTTCCGCGCTGACGGCCGCTGGCACCACTTGTGCGCCACGTGGGAGCAGCGCGGCGGGAGCTGGGCGCTGTTCGCCGACGGGCGGCGGCGTTCCGGGGCCCGGGGTCTGGGTGCGGGCCACCCGGTGCCGCCCGGCGGCGTCCTCGTGCTAGGCCAAGACCAGGACTCTCTAGGCGGCGGCTTCTCCGTGCGAGACGCCTTCAGCGGCAACCTCACCGACTTTCACTTGTGGGCACGAGCGCTGAACCCCGCGCAATTGCGCCGGGCAAGGACTTGCGCACCACCCCCCAGCGGCCTGCTCTTTCGATGGGACCCGGACGCCCTAGACGTCGCTCCGTCGCTGCTGCCCACCGTGCGGGTGCGCCTTCTCTGTCCCGGTACGGCCCAGCCGGGCCTCCTCGTCCCTAGATCCTGCCTTCTGGACGTCCGGCCCCGCCCCCTGACCATCAGTCCGGCTAGCAGTCCTCGCCCGGCTCCCTTGGCTCCAGTACACTTTTCTTATGTGTTGCTCTGGCCCCGCCCCTGGCTCCAGTACACTTCCCTTCTGACCCCGGGGACCTAGCCCACCCCTTGGCAACTTGGCCCTGCCCACCTGCTGGCCACCCCGCCTACTGGTTGCGGTGTCTCGCCCTGCCTTTGGGCGGTCTGTGTCCACTCCCTTGGTCATCCGCCCAGTGCCGGTAGCCCAAAGTCTGGGCTCGCCCCCTGGCCACTGTGCCCCGCCCGGTGCTGACCCCTCCCCCCGGTTCCCAGATCTCCCGCTAAACCCGGACCGTGCGTCCTGGCGCCCCCTCAGGTGTGCAGGTGCCTTCAAGGCCCAGGCGGTTGGGTGGGTCACTGTGACTGCTGGGGAGCCAGGGCGCGGCCCTGACAACTCTCTCACGCCTGTCAGTGCCCTCGGAGGAGTGCCCCACGTGGGACCCAGGACTCGGCACTGAGGGCTCTGAGTCCTGCCTGCAGCAGCATCTCTTCCTCTGCTGCTACCGGACAGGTGCGCCCTGGCTGCGCCCCTGGGCTCTACGGGCTCTAGGGAAGGGGAAGCCAGGTGTGGACCAGTGCAGGATGAGAGGAGAGAGTTTGGCAAAGCCTGGGAATTCAGAATCTTCTCAGGGCTTCCACGGAGTCTAGATCACAGGACGGTGGTGATTCCATCTATGTGACCTTAGGGAAGTGCTTTGGTCATTTTGTGGCTCAGTTTTCCCATCTAGAACACCATGTGTGAGGTTCGAGACACACAGCCGGTAGTGGGCTCTTCCTCCCTCGGGCCTCCCTTAGTGGGGCAGTTGAGCTGTCTGGGTGGTCACTGGGTAGGTTGGCACCTCTGTGCAGCTATGTTGCCCAGGGTCTCGTCTCGCATCTGCTGCTTTGCAGAGACCTATCGGCAGTTGCAGGATGCCCAGTCGTGGCCCGGCCAGGATGTTATCAGACGAGTCAATGCATTGGCCAATGCTACTGTGGTGAGTCACCCTCCCAAGAGGCCTGGGGAGGCTGGGGGCACTGTAGGTCATCTCCCTGAGCCTCAGTTTTCTCCTGCATAAAAGAGACACCCAGATAATATGTCTGCAGGAATTAAAGTTGTTTATGCTCCCTAATTTGGAGCTCTTAAGAGCTGGGGCCTTGTAACAAGGTAGACCTGGACCCACCAAGAAGACCCAGACAGAGCCAAAGTGATGACCCCTGGGGAATCCCCTTGTGACAGACAGACCAGCAGCCAGTGGTTCCTCTGTCCACAGCTGCCCCCTGACCCCCTCTCTGAAGTCCATGGGGCCCTGTCACTGGCTGAGGCCTCTCACTTCCTGGGCATCCTGGAGAGAGTCCTGGCAAAGGAGGTAGCTCCACTGGGGCCAGCTGTGCTACTGGCTGTCATGCACTTTCTGAAAAGGGTGGCGGCCCTCGGGGCTGGGGAACCCCAACTCCTGACTGGGCCTTGGGAGCAGCTGGGCCAGGATGTCCTGTCTGTGGCCAGCCTGGTCCTGGAGGAGCAGTTGGCCAACACGTGGCTGTCAGTCAGCAAGGTGAGGCTGGCAGGGATGGGTGGGGCAGGGACCTGGGCTCTGATTCCAGCCTTGCTGCCAGCTTGTTGTGTGGCTGTGGGCAAGGCAACACCGTCTCTGGGCTCCATCACCCCATTCATCTGGAGAAGCTCTTCTTTCATCTGTTTTATAAGTTGAACTTCCACATACAACTGCACTTGAACAACAACTTCTGCAACTAAATATTAAGAGCCACTCATCAATAAGGGCCTCCCCATATCCAAGAATCTGCTGACCAACTTAAGTGGGAGGTCCTCTATGCTGAGTGTTCAGCCCATCTCGTCTGCCAAAACAGCCCAGACACTCTGGAGGACTTGAGAGATGCTACTAGATGGAGAGGTGTTGGAGACCTCATCCCTGCAGAAGTGGCTGTAGGCCTGGAAGTGATGAGCCCAGAGAAGGAAGGGAACAAGAAATCGTGGACATTGCCTGCAGATCTCTGGGGCTGAGAAAGCACACCGGGTCCCTCTGTGGTCTCAGGGACAAAGTGGAACCAGGGCTTGGGGGTAGTATGGGGATGGTACAACACAGGAAACTGGTTCCATGGAATGGTTCACCTGGACAGGTGGTGAGCTCCCCATCCTAGGAAGGGTGCAAGCTTATGATCAGACTGTCACAGAGGGGCTGCAAGCATTTGGTTGGGCATCTAAGGCACTTTGGTAGAGTGGAAAAAGATGGCCTCTGAACTTCAGTTTTCCTCCCTGGAGAATGGGGATTATCACACCTGCCTCACTAAGACAATGGAGAAGAGTAGATGGGTGAATTGCCGGGCCCAGAGTAGGTATCCTGTTAATATGCATTCTCCCCTCCTTGCCCTGCCCCCCCCCCCAACATGGATTTCGTTTTGGAATCTCAAAGTTGAGCACCTACTATAGGTCTAGCACTGAGTCAGCCTGAAGAAGGGGGAGGCATGGCCCAGCCTTCAGAGTGTGTCCTTGCTGGCAAATGACAGACCAGCAGGCACAGAGTGCTGTAAGGCCCTCAGCTTGACTGGGGGCAGCTTGGAAGGCAGGACTGGAATGGTCAAAGGAGGTGAGGCTGGATTAGGCAGGGCCTCAAACACCAACCTGAGGACTCAGGACTTGATCTGGAGTCCCTAGGGAGCCACTGAGAGTTCTGGAGCAGACAGAGTCACCAATCAAACTACATTCCTCACAGATCATTGAGAGTGTGTGTACTTCAGTAGTCAGTGCAGTGGGGTATGCAATGTGCGAGGGACTTGGGGATGCTGGGCTTGCACACTGAGATGCGGCTTCCTGTCAGGTGGTTGGTGGACCCATGTCTCTGGTGGCAAGTGTGCACCACCTGGCACCCCTGCTGAGCACCATACTGACCTCTGAGCGGTCCCAAATGCACATCCAGTACCGCCATGCCGGTGAGCCTGCCACCCGCCCATCCCACACAGCTGGGCCCTGGGTTGACAGCTCTTCCCTCAATCCTGGTCACTGGGATCTCTGTCTGCACTTCTACAGACACTGCATTTTGTTTTCTGCCTTTGCCCATGTGGTGCCCTCCATCCAGAATGTCCTTTCCCTCTTGAGTTCCTGGAAAACTTCTGTACATGCTTCAAAACCCTGCTTGAGCACTAACTCATCCAGGAAGCCTTCCCTAGTTTCTCCTCTCTCCTGACAGTCAGTTCCTCCCTCCTGAAAATCTCTCATTGCATTTGTGGTAACTGTATAATGAGATTGCCTCCCTCCACCTGAAGCTCCCCCAAAGGCCTAGGATGTTTCTTAGTCATCTCTATCTCAGGGCCAAGCCCAAGTACCTACTCAGTGAATGTGTGCAGACTGAGTGGGGAGGCACGTATCCAGGAACTCAAGGCATAAACGTGTGTCCTTCAGGTGCCCACTGGTTTCTGGTGGCTCATTGCCTCCTAGTGACACCCTTCTCAGTGGTCCCCCTCTCCCCAGACTTAGAGAGGTCAGATCTCCCTTGGGCAAGTTGCTGAACCTCTTTGAGCAGGAGCAGCGGCCCCCTAGACCCTGTGGCAGGGAGAGGGGGAAGCAGACCCTGCCGGCTGGGCCAGCTCGGCAGAAAGACCTCCCTTCTGAGGCCCAGCCACCCGGCCCCATTTAATCCCAGGCCTGGAGGTGCGGAGCTTACGCCTGAGGGAGGCCAGCACAGGGGGCTACACATTCACGATGCCTGACGGGCACCCAGAGGGGCCTGGCCACATCCACATGCCCGCAGGTGAAGTGAGGCGACTCCTCAGGAAAGGTGGGTAAGGGCGAGGGGGTGGTCTGGGTCAAACCTTAGCTCTGATAGTTGCTAGCTGTGCTACTTTGAGTAAGTTACCTCACCTTTTAGAGCCTCAGTTTTCTCATCTGTAAAATGGGGAACTAGTACTTGCCTCGTGGGTTATTATGAGATTAAATAATGCCCCAGGCAAAGCACCTACCACATAGAAGGTGTTCACTTAGTTTCCTCCGCTGAACCCCACACAGTTCCCCTCTGAACTGGGTGGTGAGAGGACCCCCCGCCCAAGCCCTTGGTGCCATGTAGGGGTGAAGAAATATGGCAAAGGGCTTTGGAGCTGTGAGGTTAAGCACAGGGCACAGGGATTATGGCTGGTTGGAATTCTGCCTTTGCCACTGCTTTGCCACTTATTAACTGTGTGATCTTGGGCAAGTCATTTAACCTCTCTGAGCCTCAGTTTCCCTATCTGTAAAGTAAGGAGAATATTTCCTTTGGGGCTTTCCATGGTGCTTGATCCATCACTCGGTGGGGTCTTGGGTCCCCCTCCCACTCATCCAGGCCTCTCTGGAGTCACCATGATCCACAGCTGGTTCACCTCAAGTGTCTTCAAGCACACTGTGGAAGGGCCTGGCCTAGAACCCCAGGCTCCTGACAGCTCGGAGGAGGCGGGCAGGATGCAGAGGTGAGTAGGCCCCAGTAGGCTGCTGAGGGCCTGCATTCCCTTCCCAGGGAAGGCCAGGCCCCTATCCCATTCCAGAACCTCCATTCTGGTAGGAAAAATTGTCCTTAGAAGCCCAGACAATACATACACCTCCCCCCTGACACACACACACGTACATTTGTGGGCCTGCCAAGGATGTGGCTGGTGGAAACCTGGCTCAACTCCTATCTGGGACCCTGGCTTCAGTGTTGATACTCAGGGAGGGAACACAGCTTACCCAAGTCACCAGCAAGACCCTGAGGCTAAACTGAAACTCAAGTACCCTAAGTCCCAGCTCTGGACTTTCCTGATATCTGGACACGGGGGTGCCATCTCTACCACAGAGGCCTGTATGAGATGAACCCAGCCATACATCACCTATCCCCAGCCGCTCCAGTCAAGTGGTCCCCTTAAAAGCTCTCTTTCTCCCCGCAGGTTCCTAAGCACACAGGTGGGGTCAGCCATCATTTCCTCTGACGTATGGGATGCCGGCGGGGAGGTCAACATTGCTGTCACCTTTCACCTGAAACACCAGGCTCAGGTACAGGGTGGGACCCCTGGGAAACAGCCACCCTAGTACCCTTGTCCCGGTAGGGCCCTTCACCTGCACCCCTTAATATTTGTTCATTGGACAACCAAGATCTAAACACTTTTAAGGAAAATATTCATCCACAACCTATACCCATGGTCCTCAAGGGAAGGTGAAGGGAAGTAATTTATTGCACGTTCACCTTATGCCAGGTGCCTTAAATAAGCTGCATCAATTTAATCCTTCAACCCCACCCCACACTCCATTTCTCATAGGCGAAAAGTGAGCCTGAGAGAAGCGATATGATTGGCCCCAGCTTGTACATGGCTGAGCTGGGATTTCATCCTAGGTCTGGGTAACTCGAAAAACTGATGGTTTCCATTATTATATACCAAAATATGTGCACATGGAGGCATGCAGTAGGCTTCATAAGAGTAAAAATAATCTAAATGTCCGTTAATAGCGGATTCCTTAAAGAATCAGGTAGATCTATACAATGGAATAGTCTGCTGAAGTTATATAAGGAATGAGGTATTTCTGTATAAACTGACATGGAAAGATCCCCAAGACACGCTGTTAAATTCATTATCTTTAATACATAAATTCATTCTTCCTTTGTACACATTAGAACATTTCAGAGAAAGCTAGTCTTCTTTGCTCACCGCCACTAATCCTGGATATACACACATATATATGCATACCCCACAGTTTAACAGTTTTTTGTATATCCTCCCAAGACTTTTAAAAAATCAACTTGATTGAGGTATATGAATCTACATACAATAAAATACATCCATTTTAAGTGTACAGTTTGATGAGTTTTGACCAGTGCACTACCACCCCAATCAAGATACAGAACATTTCCACCATCCCAAAGCGTTCCTTTGTGCCCCTTCCCGGTTCATCTCCTTTCACTCACACCCCAGGGAAGAACATTCTGTCTTTCACCATTAAGTGCGATGTGCGTTTTTGTAGATGCCTTTTATCAGATGATGTAAGTTCCCTTCTCTTCCTGGTTTGCTGAGAATTTTATCATGAATGGCTATTGAGTTTTGCCAAATGCTTCTTCCACATTGACGTGAGCATATGATTTTCTCTTTTATTCTCTTAATATAGTAAATTATATTGATTGATTTTCAAGTATTAAATTAACCTTGGATTCCTGGGATAAACTTTATTTGTCCATGACACATTATTTTTTGTATATATTGCTGGATTCAATTTGCTAATATTTTGTTAAGGATTTTTGTGGTTTTGTTCATGAATAATGTGGTCTGTGGTTTTCTTGTAATGTCTTTGCCCAGTTTTGGTATTGGTAATCCTGGCCTCATAAAATGAGTCCGAAAGTATTCTATCTTCCTTTTTTTTTCTGAGTTTTCCAGGATTGGTATTATTATTTCTTGGTATTATTGGTATAAATGTCTGATGGGATTCACCAGTGAAGTCAACTGGGCCTGGTGTTTTCTTTGTGGTATGATTTTAAATTATCAATTCTATTTCTTAAGTTGATATAGGATTATTCACGCGTTTTGTTTCTTTTTGAAATAGTTTTAATGGTTTGTGCATTTCAAGGAATTTGTTTCACCTCAGTTGTCAAATTTCTAGCATAAACTTGTCAGTAATATTCCCTTATCTTTTTACCATCTGTAGGATCTGTAGTGATGCTTGCATTTTCATTGATTGGACTAGCTAAAAGTTTATCAATTTGTTTATATTTTCAAAGAACTAACTTTTGAGAAGGTAGTTGTATATTAATTATATGACTTAAATTAAAAATAAAAATAAAAAGTAATCATGGTAGCAAATTTGGAAAATAAAGAAAAGGATAAAGAAGACAAAATTCTATCACCCAGATATAACTACTGTGAACATTTTGGTGTATTTCCTGCCAGCCTTTTTCTGGCCATACAGAATGTTACATATATATATATTTCTATTGCAAAATAAAAGCCCTTGATTTTTCAGCAGAGTCATATACACATTTCATTTCCCTGCTCATGTTGTCTGCATTTTTTCCATCAGAGTCCCCCCTTTGCCATCCTGTCCTTTATCACTTGCTGTACAATCCTAATATTTGTAGGCTTGTGCTGCGACTCAGGTCCGTAACCACCACCTTCATGGGGGATGTTCCAAAATGAGCACGACCCTCTCCCGGTCATGTGTCTAGAGTGTCTATAGTCTTTTATTTATTACAACTAACTCTGCCTAACCCTGTGAGAATCCTCACTCACAATGTTTTGATTCTGGTGACTATTTTCTGGTGCTATATGACCAGGTATGGGGTTACCGGACACAATTAGTTCTATGACTTTTGAGTGTACAACTACATTTATATTTCCAGTTGTACCACTTTAAAATGCCATCATTGGTGTAACAATCATCCATTTAAAACGTATACAGAAGCTTGTATCTGTGTTCCCAGCACCTAACATAATGGGATGCCAATAAATGGGATGATAATTCAGTCAACCCTAGAAATAATATGTTCTCTGGAGGCATCATCCATCATCACGGAATGCTGGGAAAAGCATGGAGTTGGCCATGCCAGAACCATTCTCAGCTCTATCATGGCCTGGCTGTGTAATCTTGAGCAGATTAATTCACCTCTCTGAGCCTCAATTTCCTCATTGGAAAATACAGGAATTTACACCTGCCTCCTAGGTTGCTACGAAGATCAACCATAATAAAGGGCATGAAAACGCTTTGCAAAACACTAAGTGTCATGTTTTAGTGAGGTGACATTGCCATTACCCTCACTAGCTGGAACAAATGGCCCAAGCCCCAAGTTCAGGCTGCCTTGCCTGCCTGGGTTTGTTCCAGTACAACTCGCTGCCTGATGTGTCCTCACTGCTTAGTGACATCTTTTAAAAATCTATATTGTCATTTTTAATTACAAAAGAAATAACACATTCATCATAATATATTCAAACCCAGACTTAACTGTTGTTAAGTTAGCTGTGTGTTTGCTTCCAGGCTTTTTGTGTGTGTGTTTTCACAAAAAACAGACCTTAGTTTTATACATAAATGGACTCGTACCTAATGTTCTGCAGCTTTTTCCTTTACTGAACAATGTATCGCAGAGATCTTCTCACATCAGTATATAAAGCCCTGTTTGTTCATCTTAACAGATGCAGAGCATCCCCCTACTGATGGACACTTAGCTTGCTCCCAGTTTTTCGATATTATACATGATGCTAGCACTAAAGTCCACTCACCTCACCTTCCCTTCCACTTCCCCACTGGCTTTTTAATCAGCCCCTTCACCCATGACCCCTGCTGACAGCCCCTGGTGCTTCAAACAGAGGGGCTTCAGCATTCTCCACCATCTTTCTGGTTGCTCCCTCCTTTTCCACACACATTCACGCATGCCCTGTGCCCCCACACTCACACCTGCACTATGCCCCCACACACGTTCACGCCTACCCCGTGCCCACCCACACTCATGCCTGCCCCGTGCCTCCACACACACTCACGCCTGCCCTGTGCCCCCCCACACTCATGCCTGCCCCGTGCCCCCCCACACTCATGCCTGCCCCGTGCCCCGACACACACTCACGCCTGCCCTGTGCCCCCACACACACTCACGCCTGCCCCGTGCCCCCACACTCACACCTGCCCCATGCCCCCACACACTCATGCCTGCCCCGTGCCACCACACACACTTACGCCTGCCCCGTGCCCCCACACACAGTCATGCCTGCCCTGTGCCCCCATACGTACTCACACCTGCCCTTTGCCTCCCCCATACGTACTCAGACCTGCCCTGTGACCCCCATATAAATTCACATATGTCTCTGTTCCTCCTCACACTCATACCTGCCCTGTGCCTCCCATACACACTCACACAGCTCTCACCTGCCCTGTCCCTGTTTCCTGCTCGTAGGCCTTCCCTCAGAAGCTGGTGGAGCCCATCTGTGCTTTCTGGAACTTCAGCAGTAGGTGAGTTTCTTTAAAGAAGGCATTTGTTTTTGTTTCTTAAGGACATCTACCCTGCTCAGGCAAGAGGTAGAGCTCAGGCGTGTTTTTGGTCATCACTCACCAACCCCCTCACAGAGGTGACTCCAGGCCCCACTCAGTTCAAGAACAAGCTGGGGCAGGAGAATTTGTTACTCAGGAGGTAGTGAGATCCCTGTCATATGAGGTATGCAAGCCCACTGTGTGGAGTGCTAGGAGAAGACTCATCTCTCAAATGAGTATCAGACTTGATTATATCTGAGGCCAGGGTCCTAGAGCCTTGGAAGGGGCAGAGGAGGGTACAGAGATTAATCCCATCTTCCTGCGAGGACCTTGAGCTGAGGGAATGAGCATCGATCACTTTGCTTAGTAATTACTGCAATTAATCAATGATAATCAGTCATTGATATCAGCCCTGTCCTCCCATCATCCCTGAGAGGGTTAAGTACATTTTACAGATGGGAAACCGAGGCCCAGTGATTTGGCCAAGGTCACATACTGGTAGAGGAGAAAGGCTTTCCCCTGCTTGCCACCTGCCCCTGCCCCCCACCCCCATGTCCACCCCGTTCAGGAGCCTCTCTGTTCCATCCCCCCCAAGCCCGGACACAGGGGGCTCCTGGGCCACTACTGGCTGCTCCGTAGCTGCCCTGTACCAGGACTCCACCGCCTGCTTCTGCAACCACAGCACCAACTTTGCTGTCCTGTTACAGGTGTATGACATCCAGGTGGGCACCTGGGGCTATGGGAGAGAGGTGATTTTAGAACCAAGTCTTAGAGGATGAATAGGAGTTAAGCAAAAGGGCATCCCCTGATGAATGCTGAGGAGCACTAGCATTTAAGGGCTGGAGGGGCTGCATGGTAGACTTGTCACACAAAGCTTCCAGTGCAAGGCCCAGGAGTTGAGGAAGATGAAGTAGTAAGGTGAGCATGGGTCAGATCACACAGGGCCTTGAACGCAGCTCACAAGCTTGAATTGTGATCCTATTAGCAGAGGCAGCCTTGGAGTAGCGTTAAGCAGGCGTTGAATTTGCCTCTAAGGCACTCTCTGGTGCCAGGGAGTGAGACCCGAGGTGGAGAGAGCATCAAGGGGAATATGGACCTGGTCTAGGCAGAGAAAGGGGCCCCCAGACAGAGGTGAGGGGGATAGGGAGGAAACTGGATTGAGGCAGGAGGAGGAAGCAGGTCAGGGATGAAGGCCTGGGCTACTGGGGGATGAGGGACTCGTCTCTGAGGGGGACACAGCGGGGGAATGGGCTTGGGTGGGACACAGGGGTCTGCGACGCCCATGAGTCTGTGGGTCTGGTGTTCAGGAAGGGGGTCTGTGCTGGAGAGGAAGTGGAGAGCTGGTAGGTAACACTGTGGGCCAAGATGAGGGTGGAAGTAACAGGAGACACAACCCTGAGGGGCACCAGCTTTTAAGGACTGGAGGGAAAACCAAATTACAAGGAAGGTCAGGACAGGGTGGGCTCACTGAAGCCAGCGAGGGGCTCTGAGTGGTCACTTGCTCAAAGGTCAAGTTAAACGGACTGAGGAGTACTCAGGACCTGACGCCAGGACTACTGGGGTGACTTGGCATGCTGGGGAAGACACTAGAAAAACATTATCAAATGCATGCTTCTTATAAAAACAGCATGAACATTTTCCCACGTTAGAAACAGTCCACATGCAGCCCCATTTCTAGTAGTGTCCACCTGCATGTGATGGTGACTAATGACTCCTACCAGTGAGCAGGTCGGTTGCTTCCAATCCAGTACTCTTAAACTCGTTGCTATCAAGTCGATTTCGACTCATAGCGACCCTATAGGACAGAGTAGAACTGCCCCATAGGGTTTCCAAGGAGCTGCTGGTGGATTCAAACTGCTGACCTTTTGGTTAGCAGCTGTACCTCTCAACCACTGCGCCACCAGGGGTCCTTGGTGCTCTTAGTAGCTGTCAAATCAGCTGGGCCAATTAGGGTCCATTTAGAGGGAGCCAGCAGGAGAGAATGACACTTGAAGGCACATTGCTCAGTCCTACTGTGTGCAGGCCTCCACCCTGCCAGCTGGTGCCATCACTGTCCCGCTTTACTGCAGAGAATGGGCTGGCAGTGGGGGAAGGGGGGCGGCGGGGCTCAGAGACCCCAGGCTGAAGGTGAGGTCTGGCCTGGGTCAGGTCAGGGTGGTGACGGGGTGACAATACTCTGAGGTCTCTGTCACTCCCTGCAGAGAGGCCCTGAGGAGGAGTCATTGCTGAGGACTCTCTCATTTGTGGGCTGTGGTGTGTCCTTCTGTGCCCTCGCTACCACCTTCGTGCTATTCCTGGCAGCCGGGTGAGGAGAGCTGACCACAGCCCCGGGCCCTGCCGCCCCTCATAGGCCCCCAATTTCCCCCTCAGGTCAGGTGTCCATCCCTGACCCTGGGAGGCCCTTGGTCCACAGCCTCCCCTTAGGATGTGCCAACCTCCTTCAGAGCTGCTGTCTCTGCTTTCGTGTCCCAGGTCATTAGCCCAGCCACAGGGGACCCAGGAGAGGGGCAGGGGGCCTGAAAGGGTGTGGGTGCTCCTGGTGGTGTCCTTGTTAACTGATTCCTCTGCCTGTCCAGGGTCCCCAAGTCAGAGCGAGTCACAGTCCACAAGAACCTCACCTTCTCCCTAGCCTCTGCAGAAGTCATCCTCATGGCCAGCGACTGGGCAAAGGCCAACAAGGTAGGCAGCCAATGGGTAGACTTGTGAGCTCAGAGGGACCTGGACAGCACAGCCACCCCTGCCCATGGATGCCTGCAGGCCCTGCCCCTTCTCTGGGTGGTTCCCATCTTTACTTGGATCCATTTCCCTGGGGAAGAGAAAGGCCCAGAGACGAAAGCTCATGAGTGGATGAACTGGACCCAGGGCACTGCCCAGAAACCTTACGTATTAATACCTCCTCGGGATGGCAAGGTCAGGTGTGGCCCTGTGGCCCCAAGGCAGACTGCACCCATGGCTAACTGTGGTGGGAATCCCCCACCCCCAGCAGGTGGCGTGTGTGGCTGTCACAGCTGCAATGCATCTTCTCTTCTTGGTCGCATTCTCCTGGATGCTGGTAGAGGGGCTGCTGCTGTGGAGCAAGGTGGTGGCTGTGAGCATGCGCACGGGCCCGAGGATGAGGCTCTACTATGCCACAGGCTGGGGTGAGGTTCCTCTGCTTCCTGCTCTTGCTTGGTTCTCCTCAACTCTGCCTTACACTGCGTCCATTGCTGTCCATCACTGCCCAGCACTCAGCACCACCTGGCACCCATCACTTGGCCCCCAGCACTGCCTGGCACCCAATACCACCACTACCAGGACCCATCAGTGCCCAGCCCCATCACCACCCGGAACCCATTTCTACCCAACACCCAATACCACTCGGTGCCCAACACTACCTGGCACCCATCTCTGCTTTGCGCCCAATACTGCCTGGTACCCAACACAAATCTCCACCCAGCACCATCACCACCCAACACCCAACACCACCCAACACAAATCTCCACCCAGCATCATCACTGCCCGGCACTCAACACCACCCGGCACCCATCTCTGCCTGGCATCCAGCACTGCCTGGTGCCCAATACCATGGCACCCATCTCCACCCAGCACCCATCTCTGACACAAGCTCAATTTTCTGAGCTGTCAACCTCCAACTTCACCCAACTCCAATTTTTCTAAATCCTCTCCCATTTCAACTACCTCAACTCCCTGCCTCTAGTGCCATCACCCCCGCCCCCCGCAGTCCTTGAACAGCTAACCCCCATGCCAATGGCCAACCATCCATCTCTTTGGATTCCCAACCCTAAGCCCTCAACCCAGTCACAGCACTTCCCACTCCCAAAATACTTATGGCCCCAGTGCTACCTCACCAGTATCAGGCTCTCCCAACCTTGCTCCCCAGATCTCCCCAATTCTCCCCAGTATAGCCACTACTATGGCACAGCTGTGGGCTACAGCTCTGGAGGGGGGCTGGGTCCTGGAGAGGAAAAGAGTGGGTGACTTGGTCCTCAGGTCAATTCTTCTTCCCCTAGGTGTGCCTGTGGGCATCGTGGCCCTCACCCTGGCCATGTCCCCCCATGACTACGTGGCCGCTGGGCACTGCTGGCTCAACGTGCACACAGACACCATCTGGGCCTTCGTGGGGCCTGTGCTCTTCGTGTTGACTGTGAGCTGGGAGGTCTGGGGGCTTGGAGGGGAGAGATGTGTCAGAGGCAGGGAAGTCCCTTTTACCCACTCATACCAAATCTACAGGCCAATACCTGCATCCTGGTCCGCGTGGTGCTAGTCACTCTGTCCAGTGCCCGCCGCCGTGCCCGCATGCTGAGCCCGCAGCCCCGCCTGCAGCAGCAGATCAGGATCCAGTTATGGTGAGGCCCAGGGGAGGGGGAGTGTAAGGTCAGCTGATGCCAGGTGTGAGGGTCCTTGAGTGTGAGCACATGTGAGTCCATGTTGGGGAGCATGTGCCCCTCTGGCTGTGAATGTTCATGTGTACATGAGCATGTGTGTGCACGTGTCCTGGCTCTGTGTGCATGACGCTCACACATGTGGACTGTGTGTAACGTGTACGCTCGTGCATAGCATGTACTGGGGGATGGTAGTTGATCCTGCATGTATATGCGTGTTGGGGGGGTGATGTGTACACCAGCCACTGTCCTATGGGCTCACTGATGGTCTGGTAAGGAGGCCAAGGTGGGGAGACCCCAAAATCAGATACTCCCCAGGAGCCCAGGTTCAGTGTGAGTATCTGGATCCCTACCCCTGCCAAGAACCTCTTTCAGTCTCCAGAGCCACACCCTGCTTGAGAGGGGACACCTCTGGTCTTCCACCCACAGCTCCGCCTCCTCTCTGGCCTTCCTCTGCCACCTCCACCCCCCACCAAGGGCAGAGCAACCCAAGCCAGTGGGTCCCTGAAAAGCCAGGGAGTCCCAGAGCTTCTTAGAGCCCTTCCTGACTCCGTGACCTCTCATCCTACTGCCCAGGCCTCAGCCCTCCCTCTGAGCAGCTGCTACCCCCTTTCTTTAAGCCAGGCTTGTGAGTGGGACCCCACGTCCCCAGTGCCCAGTACCCCTCTTCCTACCACCTCTGAGTCTTTGAGAAGGGGCAGAAAAGTGCAGCCAAAGATTTCAGCTGTGCCTGAGTCTTGAGCTGTGGTCCCTGGTCTACAGCTCCAGCCCTTCCCCAGGCATTACTCTTCCCTGGAGCCCTGAGAGGAGGCCCCCAGGCCACCCAGGCCTCCCACAGCCCTGCCTGCTCTCCCACAGGGCCACGGTGAAGCCGGTGCTGGTCCTGCTGCCCGTCCTGGGCCTGACCTGGCTGGTCGGCATCCTGGTACACCTCAGCCCAGCCTGGGCCTACGTGGCTGTGGGCCTCAATTCCTTCCAGGTACCTCCAGGCCCCGGGTAGTCTGGGATTGGAACTCTGACATGCGCTGTGAGGCAGTGAGCTCTCCATCATGGGAGGCACCCAACAGCAATCCAGGCCTGAGCAGTAGGGGGTGGGGCAGGGGGACACTGCACCCCCTCCCCTGACAGAGACAAGCCCTTCCTCCAAGACCCATGTTCCCAGAGCTCCATGAGCTTCAGTCCCAGCTCTGCCTTCTTAGCTGTGTGACCCTGGCTGAGTTTCTCTACCCTGACACAGGGTGGTGAGGGCAGCAGTATCCCCCTGCCATGGCGATTACTCCAGCTCTTTGCCAGGCAGCCCCCAACCCCAGGGTGGGGTAGGTCTCCGAAGCATTCCATCCCTATCTGTGCCCCTCATATGAGCAGAGATGCAGCCAGGGACCAGTGTCACTGTCACTGCCATCTCTGCCACCCTCCCTTCCCCTCTCATTTTTTTCTGAGTCTCAGTTCTTTGTCTTTGAATTTTCTGATTCTCTCATTGTCTCCCAGGTTCTATCTCTCACTGTCTCCCTCTCAGCCATATCTATTTTTTCAGGCATTGATCCACCTGCTTCTCTTCCTTGGCCTCTCTTTAAGTCTCCCCTTCTGTCTCTTTATCTCTGACACCCCTGTCTTTCCGTCTCTGTCTCATGCCCTGCCTCTCTATCTCCTTGGGTGTGACCCTCTCTTGCCCCCTCCTAGTCAGCCTCAGGCTTTCCTTGAGGGTCTCCTGGTAAAAGCAGGGGAGAGGCTGCCGTGTAAGGAGCAGGAAGATGTGGGTCTGGGCGTGCCACTGACATTCATGTGACCCTCTCAGGCAGGTCCCTGACTCAGGCTCAGGGCTTCCTTCTCTGGTACCCTCTCTCCTGCTTCTCACCCCAGCCTTGGCCTTTCCCTTCTCCTCTCTTTTCTGTCATGCATTCTCTCCCCACCCTCCTCCAACCCTTGTCCTCTTACTCACTCTCCTGTCGGTCTTGAGCCGAAGCTGACCAAGACTTGCCCTCAGACCTCCCCCCGGCCCTTTTTCCTGTCAAGGTGGCCAGGGAGCAGGGTTGGGCTGGAGGAACTAGAATTGGCCCAGCCTCAGAAATCACTCTTCAGGGTGATTTGTTTTCTTCTGACCCCCTGTGCCGGGTTTCATGAAAGGAGAGCAAAGGTTCACTTCTACAACCAGCTGTAGCTCATACTTATCTGGCTGAGAGAGGCCTGTGAAGCCTGGGCAAGTTGAAACAGGCCTGTTTCTACATCTATGTAAACCAGTTGCTGTTGAGTCAGTTCCGACTCATGGCAACCCCATGTGTGTCAGAGTAGAACTATGCGTCATAGGGTTTTCAAAGGCTGATATTTTGGAAGTACATCACCAAGCCTTTCTTCTAAGGTGCTTCTGGGTAGACTTGAACCTCCAACCTTTTGGTTAGCAACCTAGCACATTAATCATTTGTACCACCCAGGGACTACTCATTTATATAAACGGGATCATATACCCACCTCATGGGACCATTGGGGTTCAGTTGAAATATTTGCAAAGGACTAAGCACAATACCTTGCACATTCTAGGAGCCCCATGAAGGTAAGCTTTCATTCATTTATTCACTCAATAAATACTTCCCCAGTGTCTCCCCTGTGCCTGCTCTGGGCTACATATGGGGGAATATGGTGGTATGTGGAATCAAAGACTTCACCTTCTTGAAGGTCTTAACCTTACGGAGAGACAGACACCAAAACCACACAACCACAGTATGATACAATTGAGGCTGAGAGACCAGGGAACAGTTGGGTGCAGTGTGGGGACAGAGGAGCCACTTAGGAAAGGCATAGTCTGGGCACTTCCTGGAGGGGGTGATTCTCAGCTAAGACCTGAAGACTGGGTGGGAAGAGTACATTTTAAGCTAGGTGAGCAAGGTGGGATCAAATGGAGGGGGCAGGAAGGGGGGCAGAGGCCAGACCATGCAGACATTAGACTTCATTCCAAGGGTACTGGGGAGCCACGAAGGGTGTTAAGCAAGTGCTGGTATAGTTGGGTTGGAGTTTGGAAAAATGCCTTTGGGTGATTAGTAGTGGGTGGGAGGAGACTGCCCGGTCCTGCGCCATCCCCGCAATTGTTATGTTGGAGCCCATTGTTGCAGCCACTGTGTCAAACCAGGACCAGGCAGTGTTTTGTTCTATTGTACATAGGGTCGCTATGAGTAGGAACCAACTCGATGGCACCTAACAACAACAACAGGGCGAGATGGGATGGGAAAGGCAGTTCAGAGGCTAAGGAGAGAGGACAGACTGGATGTGGAGGGCTGGGAGGCGCCAGGGCCTGCCTTGGTGACGGGTGGGGGTGGGGGAGGTTAGGGTGGAATCATCCCAGTTGGTGTCCCGGACACAGGGGGAGCAGCAGGGTTCTCAAGGTTCCCCCTTTGTCCCCTAGCCTGAGCCTCAGGGAAGGGGCTATTACCTTTTGGCGTTGTCTGGTTGGCATCAAGGGAGTCCTGGTCTCCAAATCCCATCTGCTGGGCCATATTGTGGCCTGGAGGGTGGGGCCCAGAGGCATAGAGATCCGAGGGCTGCCTGGTGGCCAAGAGGCTGAATGCGAGGGGTCGGGTGGGGCAAGTCTCTCTCTCTCACTCTCTTTTTCTCTCATAGAAAGCCATAGCTCTGGGCTACACCCTTCCAGTGGGGGAGGGGAACAGGGCAGGGTTTGAGGCCATCTTTCTGTGTCTCTGGATGACTTTGGATGTGTCTTTGGGCATCTCTGGGTGTGACTCGGCTGAGGCCCGGCGACCACTGGGGGGCGCCGTGTCCCCAGGCAAGGCGAGAGGCCGGGCGGGGGTTCCCAAGCAGTGACACCTGCCCGCCGGGTCTGTCCCCAGGGGCCGTATATCTTCCTGGTCTACGCCGCCTACAATGGGGAGGTGAGTCGGAGGGAGCCGGCTGCGAAGGGCGGGGTCAGGCAGCGAGCGCGGCTTATCTGCGCGGGCTCCGCGGCCCACGGGGGTCAGCGGAGGTCCCGGGCCTGACCTCGACGCTCACCCCCCAGGTCCGGGGCGCCCTGCGAAGGATGACGGAAAAGAATGCGACCGAAGCGACCACGGCGCTGGCCGTCGCGGGGGCGGGAGGCCCCGCCCACGGCTCCGCCCACGGCCCCGGTCCGAGCGCCGCCAACGCGCTTTCCTTTCAGACCCGCTCTAGCCCCGCCGGCAGGGCCTCCAGCCCTCGGCCCTCAGGTCCCTGGGCGGTGGCCCAGGACAGCCCCATGGCCTTAGTCCCACCCCGGAGGCATGTGGCTGTCAGAGGTACGGGCCTCACCACTCTCCATTCCCAGCGCTACCCAGTGCTTGTTTCCCCAGTGCTCAGGCAGAGTTGGGAGGGCAACAGCAAATTCTATTAGTCCGTTTGAAAGACAAAGAAACTGAAGCCCAGGCAACTGGGCCTTAGATTCCTTAGAAATGGCACATCCCTCACGCCTCCCCCTCCAGCCTGCCAAGGAACAGGGAACCCCTAATGCCCAGCCCAGAAGTGGAGCTGGCCGCTGACATCTTCCCTGGGTCACCATGGGGCAGGAGATTGAGGGATCCTGAAGACAGGTGGGTGGATGGGGTTCCAGGGCTCTGCCATGGTGTGTGGCTTGAGTGGCCAGGTCAGGAGTTCCAGTCCCAGTTCACTTTCTGTGCATCCTTGGGTAAGTCATCTTCCCTCTCTGGGCCTCCATTTCCTCATCACTAATCTGTGGGGTAAGCCTTTGGGTGGATCCTTAGGGTCTTTGAGAGTGAGATCCCCACCCAGGGTGGGAGAGCAGAGGGAGAGCTTCCTGCCTCAGTCTCCCCAAATTCACCAACTTGAGCATTTTTCCCCCACTAGGGACCCCCAGCCTCAGAATCCCCACGACCTTCTCCTCCATTGCAGAGCCCGAGAGACCGGTGAGGCCCTGCCAAGTGTGGCTGCGAGAGTTGGGGAAGCCACAGTGGCTAGGGGTGGGGCTGGGGTGGGGGCCTTCCCCTGGGGATTCAAGAGACCTCTGTTCTTCAGTTACTGGGCTGAAGAGCACTGGGACTTGCTGACTGACGAGGACTGAGCTTAATCTCTGTATGCTGGCAGAACCTGAATGCCAAGGCCACTGTGGGGAGGGAGTCATCACCATGGTAGCCATGGGCCCCGGGGCAGGGAGGAGCAGGAGTGGGGACCCACCCCCCCTTGACAGACCTCTTCTGTCCTCAGGCTGTGGAGCTGACAGCATTCAAGACTTCAGGTATAGCTCCCACTTCAGGGGGATCCCTTTTTCCCCTTTGGCCTAGACACCCCCTTTGCTCTACTGTATCAGGATGGAGGTGATTTAAGAAGCAACCATACCCTACCTCCCACCATTTAAGGGGCCCTCTCTACTCTTTCCTTGTTGGTGCCAGAAGGTCCTCTATTAGCACGCTGTGGGCTCTGTCAGTGAACATGCAGTGCACCCTGGGAGAGGGTTAGTTAAGGAAAGAGTTTGTGGGACCCCTTTCTGGAGCTGGTGCACTGGGAGGGGCAGTGAGCAGGAAGCCCAGAGCCTGCCTTCCAGCACCCCCAGCCCAACCTCCTATCTTTATCCTCCTCTGAGGCCCCCTATCCTGATGCCTCGTGATCTGAGAGGCCTTGCAGGCCCAGTGAGGAGCAAGGCCTTTCCTTCAGGGCCTCAGTTTCCCCAGCTGGACAGCTGATGGGGGCATGCTGGAGGGCCGTGTGGGCAGCTGGCAAGGCTAGGGCCACCCTAGGCCTTACTCAGGGAGGGGCCTGAGGCCTCGGGAGCTCAGCTTGGCCCGAGGGAAGCCGTGGGGACCCAGCTTGCTGTCTTCAGTCTCCCTGATCCTGAGTTCTCACAATCTTAAAATAGAGACAACCCTATGAGGAGCTGGCCCAGTACCACCCAGCCCCAAACCACACAATCAAATCCAGTGAGGGCTAGAGGCCTGTTGATTGAGCTCTTACTGGGGCTCTGTGCTAAACTCCAGGCATTTAATCTGGTGACCTAGGAAAATGGAGGTGCTGTTAGCATACCATTGTGCAGATGAAAAGCTGAGGCACAGAGAGGGACAGTGACTTGCCAGGGTCAGGGGCAAAGCTAGGGTCGGGCCCACGCCCCCACAGATGAAACTGAGGCATAGCAGTAGTCACATGGGCATACACATGGACACATTAGAACCCAGGTCCGTGTGACCCCTAGCCCGGACTCCCAGCTGGCCTCCACCACTGGCTGGTGTCTCAGTCCCTTGGAGCCTCAGCGTCCCCTTCAGCAAAATGGGCTAATGGCGCCCCCTGCAGACCTGTTGGGAGGGCGCAGGCGCCCAGCGCCCAGAGTAGGCGTTCCAAGGGGGCCTGAGCTGCCCCCTCCTGCTTCCCCCAGCCCCCCATACCCCCACTCCTACCCCCATCCCTGCAGGCGCATCGCGTCTGTGGGAACAAGAGAGTGGCAGCAGCGCCTCTGTGCTCAAGTGACAGCGCCTTTGTCTTCATTGAATGGGTGCGTTGCTAAGGCCCCTCTTAGCAACAGAGTAGCTTCCACTTCGGCCGAAGGCCCTGGCTCCACCCTCTGGACCCCTAACTCCAACCCCACCTTACGGATCCCCCCATACACCTGCAACCCACTCAGGTGGCCTGAGCAAGAGTTGCCATGGAGTGGAAGGAGGCTTCTGGCTCTGTGTCCCTCACGGCGCCTGCCACTGCCCCTCCTAAAAGCCCACCCAGCCCACCAGGGGCATGCAGAGTTCTTAGGATGGGGAAACAGGCTCAGAGAGATCAGAAAGACTGCCCAGGACAAGCCAGGCCAGGATTCCCACCAAAGGTCTCCCCCAGCCTCAGTTCTCAGCCTCTTCCCCATCCTGCAGGTCCCCGTCCTGAGTCTCTGCCAGCCCAGCCCAACGGGCATATTTTCTTCCCAGGATTCTAGAGAAAGTACATCCAGGACTTTCCTCCAAATTCTGCCATAACTGGACAGGTCTGCCAGGGGACCTCAGGCCTGGGGACTGATTCAGCCCTAGACAGGATGAAAGGCCTGGCTGGCAGCCCGAGTAAGCGGCAGCGCCTTGACCACCTCCTGCCCCCACTGGCCTCAGCCTCTCCCTCCTTTGAATGGGAGCATGAACTCCAGCCCTGGTGCTCCTGCCACCCCTACCAGAGCCCACAGCTCAGTCCCCTGTCTTTCTGTCTGTCTGTGATTCGCCCCTCTTTTCCACCCTGTCCCTACCTACTCTGAAGTTCCAGCGTGTCTGCAGTGTCTCTGGTAATAAAGGGTAGTGTTGAGGCTCTGCCTGTCTCTCTGGGGTCCCCCTGGCCTGGGAAGAGGGAGGGGATGCCAGGCAGCTCTAGGAAGAGGGAGGGAGAAAGGGAAGCTGCCTCTTGGCTTTGGGACTCAAGATGTCTCCAGCTTCATCATCAGGGTAGGTGCAGCCAACATTTATTAGCACCCACTATGTGCTAGGCTGGGTGTTAAGCCTTTTGCTGCCTTAAAGCTTCAAGTCCTCACCTCAACTCTGAGACTATAAGCCCTACTGTACGGTGAAGGAAACTGGTTCAGAGGTCTCCGATAGGGAGGCAGCAGAAAGGGAGGAGAGGAAAGGTAGCCGAAGCGGGGCACTCTATCCTGGGTGGGGCTGGGGAACTGCTGAATTTCAACAGGAGAACAACTCTCTCGGTCTAATATTTAGGTTAGGCAGAGCCCCCTCCTTGCTGCTGGTGGGTGCAGTAAGAGGGGCCGGAGCTTGCAGGGGCAGCAAAGTGGTGCTGACCTGGGTGTAGCGGTGATGGTCCCCTACTGCCTGCATTTTCAGTGTCCTCTTTTCCTTCCCCTTACCATCAGAGGGCTCTTGTCTCCCCTGAAACTAATCATAGGGATTTATGGGTGGGGGAAAAAAGCCCTGGTGGTGTACTGATTAAACGCTTGGCTGCAAGCCGGAAGGTCAGCAGTTCAAACCCACCAGCCACACTGCTGGAGAAAGATGTGGCAGTCTGCTCGCATAAAGATGACAGCCTTGGAAACCCTATGGGGCAGTTCTACTCTGTCCTACAGTGTCGCTATGAGTTGGAATCGACTCGAAGGCAACAGGTTGCCTTGGTGGGGGGAGGGGCCTGGAAGTGGGGACAGAGGGGTCCTTTTCACTGTCCCCTCTCCCTGTTCCTATACCCGTCTTCCCTTCACACACACCCTTTACTCTCCAGCCAAAAGAACCGCTTTTCAGTCACCACACACTATTGGCTGGATACCCCTCCATCCCTTTGTCTGCAATGCTCCCAACTCTTGTCTTGCTGGTGAACTGATCATCCTTCCAAACCCAGTTTGGATGACACCTCTACTATGAAGTCTTCCTGTTTCCCCCAGCCCCCCAGAGCAGAATCAATCACGTCCTCATCTTACCTGGCTCAGTGACGTGATGTATCGCATCAGATTATGATCTAATTAAGACAGTCTCCTCTCACAAGGCTGGTCATTCCCAGGGCCAGGAACCAGGGGTGCTAAGAGAGAGAGGCACACCTTTTTCTTTGCATAAAAGCCATTGTTAAGTCATGTGCCTAGGGCTCCGGTGGCCTAGAACTAAAACCAAACCCATTGCTGGGGCACTTTTTCCTAATTTACAGAGTCACCGGATGGACCAAGAGTGGCCCTGAATGTGAACTAGTTAAGGTGGTCAGGGCAGATCAGGATGCACAATGGTCTTTCTCAGCTATATGACTTTGGAAAGGCCATTTCACCTCTGTGCCTCAGTTTCCTCATCAGTAATCTCAAGGGAAAAATGTTCCTTCACCTTACTGAGGGGGAAGAAGTCAGCTGTGCTCACTGCTGCCACCAAGCTTTGGGAGAGCTAGAGGTGGAAGCAAGGGAATCAGTGAGGGCGATGTGAATAGGCCAGGCTAGGGGGGAGGCGGAAGAGGGGTCAGTGGGTGGCCACTGAATGGACAGAGGAAAGGGCCAGTGCTCTGGAGTCAGGTGGACCCAGGTTTTGAATCTGCTCTCCCAGATCACATGCTGCGCGGCCCTTGGCAAGTGTCTTCCCATTCTAGGTTATTACCCCTACCACACAGGGCAGCTGCAGGGACAGTGAGATGAAGGATGGCACACAGTAAGTGCTCGATAAATGACTGCTCCCTTCAGCTCAAGATGGACACTGAGCTGGCATGGCCAGGGTGGAACAGAGGCTGAGGTCCCAGAAGGCTGAAGCGTCTTCCAGACCTCCAGGGTGTGGCAGGGTCCCAGGGATGAGGTAGGGTCCAACCCCCACTCCCTCAACCCTGCCAGCAGCAGCTAGTGTCCCCTCACCCTGGCCCCCACAACTTATCCTGCCCCCCCAAACTTTGAACCAAAGGTGTCTGAGTGTCACTTCCTTCGCTATTGGAACACTGCCCCTCCCCAGACCATTCCACAGCCACCCAGAAGGTTCTGCTTTGGCCCCAGAATGTAAACAGGCAAAGGTAGCTGGAAACTAATTGCAAAATTTATTCCAGGGCTGCAGGAGCTGGGGAGATTCTTAAGGGCACTTCTTGTTTTGGGGATGTGGGTCTCCGGCCTTGGCGGGGGCACACGTTTGGGAGGGCAGGGGTGGGGACTGAAACAGGGCAGTGGAAGGCAGGGGTCAGGGATGCCCAGTCTCCCCAACTGGGCCGGCTCAGCGCAAGCTGCAGTGGCAACATGAAGCAAGACAGACAGTGGATGCCCAGCTGAACAGCCGGGGCCTCTCCCTAGTGCTTGGCCCTGGAGAGTGTCTTTCAGGGCCTACGGCAAGAGGCCAGCAAGCTGAGGCCCAGGTTCAAGGGTTTGCAGCAGGGGACCCAATGGGACAGGGGCCAGTGAGGGGCTCATCAGCATTGTCCCTGATCTAGAGACCCCTACACCCTCCCCAAGTTTGCCCATCTGAGCCCCCACCCTCCCACCCCAACATACACAGGGCATCCTGCTGTTCACCTAGTGGGGGAGGTGACGAGCAACAGCTCTTCTCTGGACTGGGGTGGGGCCTCAGAAATAATGACCCAGCACCACCCACGGGGTACTTGGTATGAGAGTATCTGGGGTGAAACCATGGGTCGTACTTGATGCTAATCCCCAAATCCCAGCCTTAATCCTCAAATCTGTCTCCTGCCTGCCCCCCACACACACCTTTCAAGGAGTATCTAAGAGATTAAAAACCAAATGAACAAAAAAACTAAAGCAACAAACTTCTTGACTACAGCCTTGCAGATAAACACCAGCCTGGGCTGGCCAACTTGGGGTGGGGCTAGGATGTTGATTGTGCTAAACTTCTCTGGTAGGAGAAGGATAGAAAGATGATTGTAGCAAAATTATTTTCAGATGATGTGTCAAAGTTCTCCCCTACAGAAGTCAGATGGGGTGGAAGGGCTAGGGACAGGGTCTTTTTGTCCTAACCAGTCTCCCAGTGTCCTCTGGGGCCCAACAGCCACTGCCTAGTTTAGCAAACTCAGTTACCCCTAGTTTACAAAACAGAGGGCTTCCCTCCTGGTCTCTATAAGGGAGTTCTGGAGACCCTCTCTTCTCCTGCAGTTGATGCCCAATCAGCCTCTCCCCGCCTGCTTCTGCTTCCAGGAGAGGGGGAAGGGATGACCTCTGACCCAAGGGACATGGAGGCCCACCAGGGAATCCCAAACCTCCTCTCTGGACCTGAGCTCCAGTCTCCAGGACAGACAACTGGGGGCAGGGGAATGGAGGGAGTGGTTAGCAGCTGCCCCCTTGGGGCACTCTGAGTGGTAGGCAAGTGCCAGTGGCTAGTGGGGGCTACCCCACCTCAGCCAGGCTCTGCTCATCCTCACCCACCTTCCCAAATACACAGCTTCAGAGAACTCGGGCAGGGCCTACAGGGTGGGGCTCCTGGGTTGGCAAAATAAACCATCTGGGAGGGTCAAAGGGGTGGCTCTGGCCCCTTCCCTGGCCCTAGTCCCTGCCCCAGCTGGCCTAGGCTCAAGTCTGCTTAGCTTGCAGCATCTCAATGAGCAGATTGTTGCGGGGCATCTCGTTGCCCAGGTGCTTGTGGTACAGGTATTCCTTGGCCTGCATGCTTAGTGCCCGCACCTCCACCAGGCACAGCAGCAGCTGCTGGAACTTGTCCCCACAGTGTGGGTAGTGGCACAGGGTGTAATCAAGCAGGGCAGCATTGGCCTTCTCCTGAGCATCCTTCACCAGGCTGTGGTTATTCAGGAACTTCACATCTGAAAAGGGAGGAACTCTGTCACCATTCTGTCACCATTACCATCAAGGTTGGGCCAACACTGCCACTGGCATCACCAACATCCCCTTGGTCATCAAAGGCATGGGCACTACCACCATCAACAATGCAACCACAATTTCCCCATCACAACCATATCCCATCACCTTGTCATCACCATAGTTGATGAGTACCGTCACCATTATCAATCACCAATACTGACGTCTCTGTGTTTCTTACAAACATGGGCACTGTCACCATCAACAACTAAACCACAGTCATCCCTGTCACCATCATTATTGCCATTGACATCATCACAATGGTCACCATGAACACCACCACCAGTCAACAACACCAGCACTAACTCTACTAGGTGTATCTTTGGGCATGTTACCTAACCACTCAATTTCCTCATCTGTAAATAGGGGGTGACAATAGTGGCTACTTCCCAAGACTGTCACGAGGATTTAGGGAGTTGATACATGGAAAGTACTTAGAAGAACAGTGTCTGACACAGTGAGGCTCAAAATGTTGGTTGTTATCATTATCACTCTTACTCTCAGCATTATCAACACCGTTGCTGCCATAATCAACACCATCCCCATAACCATGGTCAAAAACATCCTGTTGTCATGATCCCTGCAGTCATCACCATCAGCATCACCAACCTGCCACAGTCATCACCGTCACTCCCATTAGTACCATCCCCAGCAGGAACCCATCATCAGCACCGCACCATCAGCTCCATCACCACCATGACCAGGGAGGTGCACTGTGAGTGGAAGGACCCCACCTCACGCCTGTAAGGCATGTGGACTGGTGGCCCCATTCAGAGAGCAAGAGGCACTCCTTTGGTCTACCCTATGACCAGTGAAGACGCTCCATATCAACAAAGTGAAGAGACAACCTATGGAATAAGAAAAAATATTTGGCAACTATATATCTGATAAGGGTTTAATATAAAAAATATTTAAAGAACCCCTACAATTCGACAACAAAAAGGCAAACAACCCAATCAAAAAATGGGCAAAGGACTTGAATAGACATCTCACAAAAAAAGATGTACAAACAGTCAATAAGTACATGAAAAGATGCTCAATGTCATTAGTCATTAGGGAAATGCAAATAAAAATCCAATGAGATATCACTCTACCCCCACTAGGATGGCTATTTGATAATGGAAATAAATTTAAAAATGGAAATAACAAGTGTTGGTAAGGATGTGGAGAAACTGGAACTCTCATCCCTTGTTGGTGGGATTGCAGCTACTGTGGAAAACAGTTAGTTCCTCAAAAAGTTAAACATAGAATCACCAAATGATCCAGAAATTCCACTCCTAAATATAAACCCAAAAGACTTGAAAGCAGGGACTCAAACAAATACACTTACACTAATGTTCACAGCAGCACTATTCGCAATAGTCAAAAGGTGGAAAAAACCCAAACGTCCACCAACAGATGAATGGATAAACACAATGTGGTGCTTACATACAATGGAATAGTATTCAGCCATAAAGAGAGATGAAGCTCTCATACGTGCTATGATATGGAGGAATTTTGAAAACATTTATGCTGAGTGAAATAAGTCAGACATAAAAGGACAAATATTGTATGATTCCACGTACATGAAATATCTAGAATAGGCAAAGGCATAGAGACCAAAGTTTATTAATGGGGTGGGTGGGAAGGGGAAATGGGGAGCTATTGCTTAAGGGGTACTGAGTTTCTGTTAAGGGTGATGAAAAATTTGGAAATGGATTGTGGTGATGGTTCCACAATATGCTGAATGTAATTAATGTCACTGAATCGTACACATAAAAATGGTTGAAATGGCAAATGTTTTGTTATACATATTTTATCACAATAATTTTTTAAAAAGAGATAATCATCCTAAGCAAAAAAAAAAAAAGAGGCTCCAGTACCAAAGGAAATTCTCTCATGGGGCCATGGGAGGACGTGAGCGAAGATGTTCACTGCAGCAGTATTTATGGTGGTGGGAAGGTGGCCTTGATGGCCATGTGAGGGCTGCACCCCAGGGCATCTTGTGCAATAGGCAGAAGAAATAGAGTAAATATGACACAGAGCAAATGGTCAGATCTTTTCAAAGCATGAAGGAAAAAAAAAAAATGAATGGAAAAAATTTAAAGATACAAAATGAGATCTATAAGGCAAAGCCATTTATATAAATTAAAAATACTCATACACAAACCACACACATTATGTAAGAGCAGGGACAAACAAGAAGATCTGCATTAAACACGAAGGAATGGTTGCTTATGGGAGGGAGAGGCAGGAGACTGGCTCTTCATGGACCAGTGATCACTTATGCCATGAATGAAGGAGTGTGACTAATTCATCCCCTGCACCCGAGGTCCAGGGAAGGGACAAAAAAGAAATTATCTCTGGAGTGACAGACAGGCCCAGGTTCAAATCCCAGCTCCACCATTTAGGGGCAGTGGCCCTGTGGATGAGTCCTTGCCCTGCCCTGGCTCACAAGGCCTTCCTTGTTATGAAACGGGTAGTGTCCACCTCGCAGGAAGGGGTGGGAATGGGGCAGAGCTTGGATGATGGGGGCCTGCACCATGCCTGGCACCTGAGGATGCCCAAGGTGAGTTAGTTTGTTGTCACTCAAATTCTTATCAGCCTGCAGGCCTCTTTCAGCTCCTGGGCAGCATCTCCAGCTGGTGCTCTGTCTGGGGCTCAGGATCAGCAGGAGATGAACAACACAATTGGTCCCCAACCTCCATATCCTAGCCTAGCCTTGCCTGGGATGTGGCATTCAGTGGCTCAGAAAATGGTTGTCCATCTGCATCCCTTCCGCCCCCATCGCCCTCAGCCTTGTTGCTGCAGGGGAGTCCAGAGCCCAGCATGTGCAGCCCTTGGCCCCTCTAATCTCTCTTAACACCCACTGCGCCAGGAGGGCTTGATGCTCTTGGCAACCCTGATCCCCACCCGCCCCCAGCACGCCTACTGAGGCCTGTGTTGTCCAAAGTTGGATTTAGGGAAACCTGAGCTGGGCCCAGGGCTTATGACAGGATTGAGCCCGAGCCTCCAGCCCTTCACTCTCCCTTCAGTAAGCAAACCAGGGTCATTTCTTCCTCATCCCCCCAGGATTGCCATTAGCCCATAAGACACCATTGTGCCAGTTAGAAAGAAGTCCCCCTTGTCCATAGAGACACAGCTTGGCAAGGGACATGCAGGCTGGATTTTAGCCCCTACTTATCCCCTGCCTAGGTACCCTTGTGCAGTGAACAACCTGCCCAACTGTATACAGCAGCCCTGCTCCCTAGCCTGGCCTACTCCAGATACACCCAAAAGGTCAAGGAAAGTCCTCCCACCTAGCTAGCTTTCTGGGAGTAAAGGGTGCCTCCTGGACCTATCTCAACATCTTCCCATCCCAATCCTGTTCCATCTGCCATCCTGTTATTCGTCCCTCACCTTCTCTGGGACTGGGCAATTCTCCTGATACTCACAGTATGAGGCTGGGGGCCAGAGAGGGGCAGGGACCAGCTCAAGGCCACACAGCAGTCTAGCAGCCCAGAGAAACAGCTGGGAGCAGGGGTAGGGAGGACAGGCTGGGGTGCTGGAGTAAGGGCAGGGATGGGCAGGCCCGGGGAGGACCAGGACCTTGGCTTTACCAGGATTTACTGTCCTCAGCAGCACTGAGCCAGGGACAACAGGGTGGTGATGGAGGACAGTGGGGAGTAGGTGCAGAGCAAAGAGAGGTTTCGAGGATGGGCCCCCTTCTCCTAGCAGTTCTGGATCCTTCAGCTCCTAGCAGGCTAGAGACCCCCACTGCCCCCATGAGGGAGGCTATGGGGCTGGGATGGGGAGCATAATGGCTAATTGAGCCCTAGCCACCACAGTACAGACTGTGGACCCAATTTCCTGGCCACCCATCAAGCACCTTGCACCCAGCTCAGTGAAGCCCCACAGACATCCAGAGAGGCGGGAAGGGCATGCCATTTTACAGGTGGGGGGCCCAAGGCTCAGAGAGTCAGGGTGGTGCCTGGGACACACACTAGCTGCCAGGGCCTGGATTCAAACGCAGGTCTCACTGACTCCAAAGCCGAGGCCTCACCTGTGGGCAAATAGGGGCTGGGTGGCCCCTGCCAGGGCATCTGGATGGAGCTTAGACACTGGCTCCTGGGCAATTGGACATGATAACTTCATGTACCTTCCAATTTAGGAGTTTTTTCTAAGGCCCCCTACTCCTGGGGTCCAAGGTTTACCCAGAGAGGCTACTCTGGACTCCAGCCTCAACCTCCTCCTCACTTGAGACCTTGGACAATTCAGGTCCCTTCTCCCAGCCTCCACTCCCCTGTCTAAAGGGACCTCGTGAGGATTCTATGGAATAACTGATGTGACAGAGCGACCATCCCACAGAACACCATGCCCTCTCCTTTAGACGAGGGAGCAGGGGCCAAACAAACCTGGAGACCCCCCATTCACTGTGTCAGACATTCACATCCCAGCTCCACCACCAGCTGAGTGACCTTGCGCAAGTCACCTGCCCTCTCAGCCTGATTTTGGTCATCTGCAAAGTGGGGGCAAATGAATTACCTCACACAGGGAAGCCAAGAACTGGAGATAATTTGTGAGCCGCCCTCAGGTTGGAGACAGGATAGATCGATGGAGACAAGCCTGCATCCCCCAGTCTGTTAGGGCTCCCAGCAATCCTGGAGGTGGGAGGAGGCTGGGAGATGGCACCCCCCCCACCCCCACCCCTTCAACACCTTGGAGAGCAGCCTGCTAGCTCTGTGGAGCCAGGGGCCCCCAGGTTCTCAGAAAAGCCCCCTTTTCACGGTTTAATTGAATATTTGAATAATCCTTTCATTCCAGCGAGGCATAAAGAATGTTGTCCCAATAGCGGTGACTCAGGCAGGCGCCCCCGCGCACAATGGCCTCTCGAGTGGGGCTGCTATTCAGGCCGCCTTTTGTTGGCGCGGAGCAGTGGGTAAATTGCAAACGCTTAAGGGAATGCTGCTGCCGCCGCCTCAATGGAAATCAGGAAATCGAATGTTAGGTCAATCCATTAAGCTTCGATTAAGTCCTCGGCAGAACAATGCCAGCCGGGCCCATCTTCATAAACACCGTGATTGCCAGGAGAGAGGCACTAATTTTAATTAAACCTCCTTACCTGCCTGTGCGCCTGCCCGAGACGGCTATTTAGACACCAAATGGCACCCTTATGCGGAGGCAGGCTAGAAGGAGATGCTGAGTGAGCTGGGGGGAGGCGGGATGGGATGGGGGGACAGTCATCCCATGAACCCAGGCTGCCCAGCCCAGGGAGGTGCTGCCTGAGAGTGACACCCAGCACGCCAGCTGGAAGTCTACAGGCAAATGCTGGCCCTTCTCCAGGCCCAGTTTTCATTGAGGTCCCAGCTCTGGTGGTCTGAGTGGAATCCTGAGAGGGACCCACGTTCCAGACTCTGGGCAGATCTTGCCTGTATTTGTCCACTTCAATCCCAGCCCCAAGTCTAGCCTCCTGCATGGCTCCCAGCTGCCCACCTGCCATCCTTTTCCTAAGCTCAGTTGGAGGGACCTTGCTAAAATGCAATTTTGATCACGTTACTCCTTCCTTAAAATCCTTCCCAAGAGAAGGTTCAAGGTACTTGGCCTGGCATTCAGGGCCCTGCACAGCTCAGCCCCCTGCCCACCTCTCCATCCCTTCTTCAACCCCTATAGCCAAACAGAATTTTCAGGATTCCCCCATCCCTTTCCCCATGCCTTCAGTCTGGAATGCCCATACTGCTGCTTGCCTTGTTTCACCCAGAAAACTCCAACTCATACTTCAAGGCTCAGCCCAGAGGCCCTTCCTCCAAGAAGCCTTCCCAGATATCCTAGGCAGAATTGGTTTCTCCTTTCCTCTCTGGCCCAACCCTGACCACACTGGTCCACTAAGGCTCCTCTCCCAACCCAGAACTTATCAACCAAAGTGTCTGTGGCCCACCTGGCCTCCTCTTCACTGCTCTCCCATGAGCTAGGCAGGTCCAGGTCCTGTGATTGCCAGGAGAGAAGCAATCTCTTTCTCCCCTGGCAGCCCCACTTCATTAGAGTCTCTGGCCACCTGGGCCGGCGGTTCCCCCATCCACCTCAGAAAGACCAGGCTCACTGCCCCCAAAGGCACCATGCCACCCTCACTGCGTGAGGTAAAGATGGCAAGTACTCCGAGCCAGGGCGTCATGGAGAAACACAGCCCTGGGAGACAAGAGACTGTGACCTCTTTCATTCATTCACTTCATTCATTAACATGTTCCTTTGCTCATTAACTTAATAATGATGATTACCATAAAACAATACTAATGCACACTTACAAGGGTCCAGGCCACCTACTGAATGGGAATTCTCTCATTAAATCTTCATAGCAACTCCATAAGGTAAGGACTATTATGATAGCCATTTTAGAAATGACCACTCAGAAAGGGGAGTGACTTGTTCAAGTGCACACAGCCAGAGAAGAGCCCAGATGTAGAACCCAGGGTGTCCATCCCTACTCTCCGTTTCTAACCACTGCTCCACCCTGCCGTACGTGCATGCACACACTCTCATTTCCCTATCCTGCCCCTCCATCTCATTCTAGCCAAGCACTGTGCTCATTCCCTGGTCTCTCAGGCCTCAGTGGCCTCATCTGGAAAACAGAATAAAGGCTAATGCCTCAGCATGAGAAGTGGGCTCAACTTACACCCCATGGAAGGCAGAGTCCTGGGTTTATCACCAGATGGACACCAGAGCTACGCTGGGCCTGGCAGGCCCAAGCTCCTGGGGCCTTGGTGGGAAGGGAGACTGTGTCTGCAGGGCGGGTGTCACAGGTCCCTGTGATCTGGGAAGCCAAGACATTGTCCCTGCTCTGCAGGGGGCACCCAAGGATAGCTTGAGCCTCTGCCAAGGAGACTGGTGGCTGGAAGCCCACTGTCTACCTGACCCTCCATAGGACCATCAGTCAGGTCAGGAACTATCACCTCACAAACCACCCAGACCCCCACAGATTGCACACTTCAATGCTGTGTACCCCCAAGCACTGCCTACCCCTCCAAATCCCTCATGTCCCCAAATCTCCCCAGTCACTCTCCAGCCACACACATTGTTCACCCATTGTGACACATAAAAAACCACAAGCATGTAAATTAAAGTTCGTAGTCTGCACATGCAAGCACACACACGTGCAGAAACAAAGATACGGACTCAAAAACACGTAACAAACGCTCAGAAACTCCTGGAGTCTCCATACCCACAACCACACAGAACTACAACCACGCACATCAGTGGCTCTGTTTCCTGAGCCCAGCTACTCTCAAAGACAAGGTTGGGGGGGGTACTGGCTGGAGGCAGAGGTGGGAGGGGGCTTCCCCCAGGTGAAGCCAGCCAGGCCTGGGCCCCTGAGGCTCCTACCAGGGCTTCAGGCCACAGCTCCTAACTGGCTGCCCAAGATCCCCACCACCACCACCATGGTTGTCTCCTACCAACGCCCACGTAGCAGCTGGTGTCCAAAGAGGAGTTCTAACACAGCCTTTCAGATAAACGTCCAGGACTTTCTGCTGGAGTCAGGAGACCCAGCCCACTGCACCCAGTCACTTGGCCATGGCAGATACACACAACCCCACCTGAGCCCTGGGCTTCTACCATCAACACTTCATGATCATTCCCCCTACCAGTTCCCTTCTTCCCTTCCATCTCTCCAGTTCCTCCCATTTCCCTCACTCTCAGGCAGGTGCACCCTTACCAGCCTGGCTATGAAGCCATCTGCCACGAAGCTGACATCTCAATCCTGCCTCCTCCCCAGGTGACAAGGCACTCAGTCCCCTCTGTTCCAACCTTCCATCCCATCTGCACCTCTGCTAAAAGATTTATCCACCCAGCAAACTCCTCCTCATCTTCCAAGACCCTCCTCAGATATTCCTCTCCCAGGAAGCCTTCCAGGCCAAGCCCTTGCTCTCCACCTGGGTTGCCCCAGCCATGCCCATCCCTTGTCTCAGCCCTGACTGCACAGGACTGGAGGTGTCTTCTGGAAACAAGAAACACTTCTATGTCCATAGCATCACTGGGCAGAGAGTGGGCACTGGAGATGGCTTGCTGGATGAAGGAGGACAGAATGGGGCTGGCCGGGTGGGAGCCCAGAGGGAGGGTGGAGACAGGCTGGGCTGGAGTCAGGAGGGCAATGGGAGGAACCCGCCAGATACTTAGGGGCTAGGGGGAGCTGGTGGGTTGGGCTCGCCCTCTGCCCCTTCCCTGCTTTATTTTCCTCAGCATTTATCACCATCTTCCAGGCTGCATATTCTACTAATTATTTATTTCACTAATTATTTATGTATTTTACTAGTCATATATATGTTTTTTGTCTCTTTCCCCATGAAAACATCAACTCCAGGAGGGCAGGGATCTTTGAGTCTTTTTTTGTTCACTGCTGTATCCCCAGTGCCTTGCACAGTGCAGATCCTCGGCAAAGGTTTGTAGGATGGATGGATGGATAGGTGGGTGGATGGATGGATGGATGGATGGATAGATGGATGGATGGATGGATGGCAAAAGAGACTGGAATTCCAAAGAGCTCAGAGTGAGACTGTTGGTCCCCCTTAGAGCAGAGAATCAGGAATAACAGGGGCCCCGGGTGGGAGCCAGGGAGCAGAAACTCTGGAAATTGCACAGACTTTTCCTAGAGTGGCATAGGTACTTTTCAAGGGCTTTCAGTCAGGAATTTACCACATTCTCAGGTGGGGTCCTCATCCATAAAGGGCAAACCCACCGCCTTCAGCCTTATCCTGGCTCTTTGAACTTCTGAACAGAGAAACTGAGGCCCACAGAGGAAGCAAGCCTCATTTTAAGAGCCCTCACACCCTTATTCATTGAGAGAGGGGTCTTTGTCCCCATTGAGACCACTGGGGCATATCCCCATCTTGGCCACTCTGGCCACATCCTTGATGAGGCCCTGCCCCAGCCACCTCTCAGTGCCCCAGCCACCCACCCACC